TACAACCATAAACACAAAGAAACGACGGTAAATCAAGCTGAAGTAATTACCAAGCAGAATAGAGGCTACAAAGGAAGCTCAATAAGGCCATTTTCCCAATAAGTATATTGAGGCAAAATGACTGCGCCTGTAATTAAACTGGTGTCGTATTCCGATCATGTCTTCAGTAAACATATTATGACAGTTCACTAAATTGTGGGAGAATAGGAAATTACAGCTCCGTTACCACGCCGATCACATTAATGTCGCTGAGACAAAAAAGAAAGCACAAATAAAGCCCTACGTAGTTTATTTAATTTGACTTAATCGCAGACGTTACATGTGTTTCCAGAATAAATGTGAGGTCAAACAGACATTATTAACATTTCTCTGAGCTTTTGTAAAACTATCCAGACTAGATTCCCCCGGCTGCTTCTGTCACTGCTCCACACTGCGGCCCAGCCAGGAAGGTCAGAGGTCAAATTACTGCCACCAATCAGAGTGTCCGGTATCTACATAAAATGCGCGTATTGATGACACGCAGTGACGACAGCTTCCTCTTCATTTACCGTGAACTTTACCATGAATTGACGCATTTCTCAGGGCTCTCATCCAAATCCACAGACAATGGGTCGAAGATGAGAGATTTAAGGCTCGTAAAAAAAATAAAAAAACTCCTCGTGGCTGTCGTTCCTCCACTCGTGACTTCCAAACTTTAGCACACGCTGAGGATGAAACAAACGAACGCCGCCGAGAGGCCAAAATATGAGCAAACAAAGCCCGTCGACTGAAAAAGGGAGGCTTTCAGAGGAAAAGCCCGCGTGATTCACCCTCTGCGTTCGGCCCTAATGAGTCAAAAAGTGTGACCTGCACTTAAACAAGAAGTCACAGCCAGAAGCTGTAAACTCATTTTCCTCATCCGAGCCAGCAACGTCGGCAGGACCTGGAAGATGTGCTCCGAGCATGCACGATAAATCTGACGTGAAATCATAATCATAAAAGCAATTAGCTGACCCTGCGCCACTCGTCCTTGGACATGACAGTGAGAATTCATACGGAGTCCTCCGAGGAGGTTGGCTGCTGTTTGGTTTTTGTTTGTGTGTTTTTGTGGGGGGGGGGGGGGGGGGGTGAGTGCAACACAGCAACAATAAAATGAAGGGCCCTTCCTGTATCATAACCACGGAAACAAACAGCGGTTGATGCAGATGCCGTCCACAGAAGCAGAGAATTTAGCTTTTGGAAGAAAAAAAAAAAAGAAATGAAAAACTTCACCACAAACCACGGAAAAACAAACGGCGGCGTGCACGAGCAAGCGTCCCCGGGTCCAACGTCCCTCCGCGCTACGGCCCACGCTGTGAAATACAGCCTCCAGATCACCTTCATGGTAAGTTTACGTATGTGGAATTAAACATAAAAATATGAAGATTGATGCTTCGTGCGCGCGCGCGCTTTTGTTCTGTGCCGCTGCGCATGTTTACAGTCGATGTGACAGGATACTGAATCTATCGACTGCGAGATGGCAGGTGATCAGATTTATTGGAGTTTTCTCTTTCAAGGAGTGTGTTACAATCTGAAAAATCGCTCTTCACACACCCTCCCATATGCGCGCTCACACACACACACACACACACACAGTTTCTCGCCATCACTTCCCACCCAGTAATTACAGCGAGGCCGAACTAGTGGCTGCCACCTAGTGACCGTCTTCTCCAATAATCATGAAATATCTCCATGGCTCGCGCCCCCCCTCGGACCATAACTCTCCTTTACTGCAGACAGCGCCAATAAAGGATTACAATTACAATTAAAGTAATGAGCAAAGAGGAAAAAAGGAAAATCTCAGAGCAGGTTCCCTCGACTAACTGAACGGTAGCCTAGTTTCTTGACAGAATGGAGTTACCAAACCCAACTCATTACCGGCTCCCATTCCTTATTCTGCCCCAATAATTAATGTGGGGCGTTTTGAAACCTGCAGTATTTAAACATTTAAATAATGGTTTTAGAAGGGGATGAATGTGAAATTTGTTTAAATATGAAAGATCAAATAAGGCTTACCTCTGTTTTATGGTAAAAAGGTGTGAAATCACTTTAACTGTACTGTATTTTCATATAACCCGAAGAAAATACTGGTGTTAAAAGGACTTTTTTTTATCACAAACACGTTCCACGGGGGGAGTCCCCGGTCACGGCCCGACAGTAACCTCTGACTTCCTGGTATCACCGCTGGGTTTCATTTGTGCTGCTCCCTCCCTCTCTTTTTAGATGTAACATATGAGGAACATCTGACTGCCGTTTGACTTACAGGGTTCAGCAGAAGAGTCGTCAGGGAGTTGAGGCTTTGAAACCAGGAGCAACACAGGCAGAAAAAAAAGAAAAAAGGACAACGGGGGACCGCAGCAGCGGCAGTGCCTCCATGTCGCTGGCTGGACCAATTACAGTTGGCACGTCTTCTGCCATCCTGCCAGGTCCCCCACACCTCCTGCACTTAACACTGCCTGCCCCCCTCCACCACCTCCATAGTGGGATGGCTACTGCAGAGGGGCTATGGAAATTTGCAGACTGCTGAGCCAAAACAGATCACTTCAAAGCGGCTTATTTAACGCTTGCTAAATTTTTCATCACAGTCGCTTAATATCCTGGGGAAGGGGAGCTTTTGAAGTTGCTGTGAGACCGGGGATGTTCTTCTTACCATTCTTTTTCCCCTCCCATTACCACCCTCCCTCTGCTGTCCTAAAACCCCCAAACCTGAACACACACACACACACACACACACACACACACACACATGCACACAATGATTTGCTTTCTTGGTCATTATTCATAGTAAAACCAAAATCGTTGGCTTCCGGGTTCATGGTCAAATACACAACAAAGGTTTTTAAAGATATCACCTTATTTTCAAATATTTTTATAAACAAAAAGATGAATCCATAATTGTCAGATTAATAGGTAATAAAAATAATAATTGTTTTTCCATGTAATCATTTCTTCTACAAAAACGACAATGTCTGAGAACGGAATATCTGTTAGTAATGAGGATATAATCGCCAGGAGGTATTTATTTTCATTTTGTTCTGAGAAGTGAAATAATTAAAAACCTTGATTTAATGCAACTGTTACGAGGAAAACCCAACAGTTCAAATTCAATTCCCATAAAATATTTAGTCTCTTATCAAAATATTCTCCCACGCTCGCGGATATCATGTTGATGCATTTCCTGGACGGTTTCAAAACTGACCCCGTTTTCTAAGCGGCGTGATCAAAGGGATCCGTACGCACATAATTATTGTTGTGATCCGTTCGGGTGGATGTCGGAGCAACGAGGACGCAGCGATAGGAGGAGATGAGGGCTGAGCGCGGGGCGTCACTGTGGGGGGAGAGCACACAGACTAGGGAGACACCGGCACAAGAGACAGGCAGGGCTTGTGATGAGTGGAAGGTAGGGAAGAGAAGGGGGGGGGCGGAGACGGAGAGCGAGCAAGCCGGGGTGAGGGCGAGCAAACCGCAGCGCCAGAGGCAGCGGCAGCGGCTGGCAGCGACTGGTGTACCAGTCAACCGTGGAACACACACTCAAGCACGTCTCTCTCGGCCTCCTTCCCTCCGTGGCTGCGGGTCCAGACTTCTCTCCTGGCCTGGATGGTGGCAAATGGGCCTCGGCTCTCGAACAGGGCGCCCCCACCCCCTTCCCCCCTCGCGACCCGTTGCCACAGAGGAGAGCACACGCCGCGCCGTGTGCCAGGGCCTGCTGATCTGGGCGAGGTGAGTCAGAACCTGTTATCATGACTGGTGGCCCCGGCCTGACACACTGGCTTGTCTGACGTGCACATGTGCACATAAATGTTATACAAACGTGTGCACCCCGCCCCCCTTACCCCTCCCTCCCTCTCTCTCTCTCTCTCTCTCCCTCCCTCCCTCCCCTCCCAACCCTGCCAGCACTCCCTTTCCTCTCATCCAGATAAAATCCTTTCAGACATAAATTTCAATTATTCACCTCATCCAAATAATGCCATGTGACAAGAATTATCCCTACTGTAATAATCCACTTAACTGGGAAAGAGCAGCTCATCAAAAAGAGAAAGGAGAAAAGGGGCTGGAAGTGAGGGTGGCGGTGGCGGCGGAGCGGGGGAGACTTGTCAACCGGTCTCGAATCAGGACCCTCGTAACAAGAATTTCTTCCCCTTTTTGAGGAGGCAGTCTTGGAGCGCGCTGGGATGATGAAATTGAAGTAAATTGAAAGAAAGCCTGGGAGAATGCTCCCACAATCAATAACCCCAGGATTAAATTAGCTCTGGCATGAAGGGATGATGGGGAGTGGGGAGGGGGGGGGGGGGGGTGGAGACGGAGGGGGGTGAAGAGTGAATGGCGGAGAATGACATTGAGACATGTAGGCTGAACAATGCAGCGCTCCTGCAACCTGGATGCCGCGCTCATACGGGCACAGCCAATGTACCTGTGATGCATTCCAGCCCACTTGGGACAAAACTTTCCGGCCTTAAATCGTTGTCACCACTTTGAGCCGAGCAACGTCTAAAGCTCCGTTCACACATTATCGGAAAAAAAACAACTGATGTTTCGGGCTCTGCGTGTATTCGAAACTTGGACGGAGGACTTCAGAGACACTGATTAAAAGGAAGAATAAAAATCATTAGATGAGGTGTTTATTTTGCAAGTACAGCCTCCGCGTGGGCTCGGGGACGTCCGTGAAAACACCCGATCGCACTGAGGAATGTGTAATGTGGTCCGTTTAGCTAAGCAAAAGTAGCTTGTTGATGAAAAACAACTTCCTTAAGATCACAATTGTCTCAAATATGCGTTATCAATTGCAAAGAGTTGTCACTGAACCCTACAGTAAGGTTTCACTGGCAAAGGCTCCGACCGGGGAAATATCTTGAGATGAAAAAGAAATAGAATGAACTAACCCGCTGCAGCCACCTGATAACCACTTACACCAAATAAGCATATTAAAATCACTTGGTCGACGTGTTCCAAAACGTCGTCATTAATGAATAAGAAGTCCTTACCAGTTGTTCTCGGGGAGGAGCGGTCGCCTCAGTTCCAGCTGGAAGGCCCGGCTGGGAAAATAAACAAACACTAGTATAAGACTGCCATCTATTGGAGGACACCAATGTAATACACCAATGTGTAGAAAGCAGCAGTGGTCTTAGGTCACAAAGCAAATTCACTTAAGTACGTAATAGTACTACATAACAGTCAAAAATGAAATGATGATGTTATTAATCGGTTAAGGCAAAGATCCCAAACGGTGCTTTAAATGTACCAAACTTTCAGAGCTGCAACAGAAAAGTAATTTACACACTACTACTGTATCAATAATTATAATAACACAATATATATCATTCTTAAATGGGCCTTTCGGAATAATGAGTACATAAAATGTTTAAATGTAATGCAAATATTTTTCTACTTTTGCTTATTACTATTAGTAAAATGGTGTAAGTACGGGTACAGAATGTAGGAGGTGGTGTAGGAAGTTCCACGGCATTGATACTACTACTTAGAGAAAACTCAAGGTACTTCTTCCACCACTGGATAGCAGTGACATCTGCGGCGAGCCGTTCAGTGCATCAATCTGTCACATTAATGCTGCATTACAGGGTGCAGATCTGTTTACCTGTGCTCATGCACCAATTATTCAGCATGCATGACAATCATGAATTAAGTTAAGTTCCTTACTGAAGTCCCTCCTGCTTCATCGGTCACTGGGTTAAGACAACATAAAATCTACCTTTAAAAATGATGCTTTACAAACAAGCACATTTAATTCTGCCTAACTATTGCACACTTTGATTCCGATTCTAATCTATTTTCTGGGAATGAATAAATTACGAATGTAAAAAAAAAGTTTAGAACAAGCCTTTTCCAAAATGATCAATGCTTGTCAATATAAACCAAAGTGAAGGCTGAGAGCAGAGTCCAATCTAACGGCCTGACGGTGACCTTTACGCAGCATGTCATTAGCTGCCAATAGTCCGACTGAGAGAAGACTTGTTGGTTGATTGGAAGGACGTGCGTTTGGTCACGGTTTAAGAGCTGGCCCAGGCAGAGGTCTAGCAAGCCACACAACTTGGCACCGTGCGATGCGGCCCAAGAAGGACAGCTCGTCCCCTCGTGTCGACTTGGCAGCGCAAACAAGTCTGACAGGCAACTTCTGAAGCGTTGCGGGAGCTAGCCGGCGTGCTAACTAGCGAGCGATGCTAACTTTAGCTAACAGAGGCGTTAAAAGCGCAACGATACAAAAAGTGGAGGTATTGAAGGGTCACGACGTCTAAACGCAGTGTGGGTGTCCACTGTCGTGTCTGGACACCGAGAGGTAAACGCTTTAGTTGCATAATTGTAGACCTGTGTAGGAGGATCAGGTTGCTCGGTGGATGCCATCTTTCCCCTCGATTGCTCACAGGACGAGCTGATCGACTGAGCCACGTTCGATTGCTTTTCCTAAAGGCTGTCAATGATCCATTTTCCTTACAAAACCACAGTAACTCCATTCAATAAACAGCAAAGTTCATTTGAAAGCTCAAACTAAATTTATTAGAAGCTCCTTTTGTTTCCAATCAAGAAATCTATCACATGAATTGCTTGTAATAATAATTATTATTATCAAGTAACAAGACTCCAAATTCATCTTTTTTGGCCAATTACATGAAATAGAACAATAACACAAAAAGAAAAGACACAATTCTTTTCTTTATAACAGAACACAGGGACCATCTACAAAATTACTTATTGTTTGTTGCTTTTGTGGTGCATTTTCTTACTAAAATTCATTTAAACGACGAAAGAAAAGACAGTGATCACAAGTCCATCAGGGCTCCTCGAAGTCTGGTGTCCCTTGGATTTCGGGGCCGTTGCAGTTGCCCACTGTGTCCGTTTGCTAATCGGGCCTCGCAGTCTGACTGCCCCAAGAGAATCCTGTCATCAAGGAGACATCCTTAAAAGCTGTAATATGAATGGAACATTAATCTTCATAATCTGCACCAAGAGGCACATTAAAATAAGTTAGATTAGCTACTGTGCCCATTATGTCTTGTGGAAAGACAATGCTGTCTATATATTTCCCGAGAGAAGTCGACACACACACATACACACATTTCAAGACTACATTGAAGACAGACGCTGTGACAAAAAATGACTTCCTATTCATCATATTGTGCATTAAATGTACTGTCTGAGTTTTTTATATTGCTTTTAATCTCTTTGTGGTAAAACTCATATTGGAATTACCTCAAAGCCACAAAGACTATGTGGAGCTTTGATAAAAAATATCCAATAATACAGGTTATCCAGCTGCAGTTCCGAGTGACAGAGCGGAGATATGCAAACATTGTAGGTGTGTAGACCGTTGAGTTGATGCTATCTGTATGTGTTGAAGAAATCTAACAAAACAAAATTCTAGTGAATAAGTCTATTTTCATAATCAGGTGGGTCCAGGCAATTGCCATTATCTGGGCTTAATATTAATAATGTTGGCAACACATCCAAGTAATAAAACAAGGCACTCAGGTCGTGTTCCTGTACATTCACATATATAAACAGGCCTTTACATTCAATACAAACTAAGATGCATACCGTGAGAGATGGGGAAGGAGATAGAAAAGAGGAAGTACGGTAGGACAATGGCCTAATTTGATGGTACACTCTCCAGTCTCTGTGGAAACATGTATCCTATTATGCTTATTAGTTGCCGGATATATTCAGAGAGGATGGACACGAGGTAACCGAACCGAAAGCGTAGACGGGAATCAAATAAAAGGAAGCTGACAAGCCGAAGACTGTACATTGCCAGTAACGCCAACAGGTGGCAGTACGGCGAGATTCCATTAAAACCCAATGAAGAAGAAGAATACACAAAATCAAAAGACGAAGAAGAAGAAGAAGCTTCCGCGTTCGAGCGTCTCGACGGTATCTGACAGTTCGAAGTTGAGAGAAAATAAAAAATACTTTTCTCCACATCAGGCCAAGAATGACGGACAGGAAACCGTGTAAGGTGTGTAACTTCACACGACAAAAGTCCTACGGAGTGGTGGTGCCCTCCTTAGATGAGCTGAAGCTGAAAGGTAAGTTGTGTTATGACGACTTGAATTAACGTTAAGTTAATTGAGTGTAATTGTATGGTTTTCCTTTTGAAAATAAACCGTTCTGAACGAGCTATACCGCATGTATAAAGTATACGATACATATATAAAATCATTTTGGTGCATTTAGTGATCATCTTTGGCGGTTTCGTCCGTGTTTTTATTAAAAGGCATTAATAAGCATGTTGTCTACTGCGAAACGCAAACGTCATGATGAGTGACCATCTTCATCTCTGTGTGTCCGCCGCCTTCGACCCTGCACGTCGGCTTTCAAACTCAACAGTTTAATCTTATCTGCGGTGATCACGGAACAGCCGAGCAGACATTTCCATCGTGTCCAAACTCGCAGGAGCTTAACGCGCAGAGTCGGGACAGATCTCCCTCGATACCGGGCGTGCGCGTCAGCACAGCCCCGCAGGCGGTGGCACGATCCCGGCACGCTTCAATGTCTCCATGTGACCACGCTTCAATGTCTCCATATGACCACGCTTCAATGTCTCCATATGACCACGCTTCAATGGCTCCATATGACCACGCTTCAATGGTCTTGAAGCTACTAGAGGCAAATCCACCAGACACAATCTAGTTTTTCTCCCATCAAAACGGGATACAGATACTTCAGCGAGGCACACCCGAGGGATGGTTGGCACAAGAGATCCTCTTGCAACGCTTGAGTTGTTTACTGATCTCTTTGGTATTTGCAGTAAGGAGCGGTTGGTGTGAGGGTTGTAACCGCCGGAATATTTCGCTTGTCCCGTGTGACGCTCGTGATGAAGGGAAAGTTCACCCGAGATCTGTAAAATCTGTAATTTCTGTGTTCTTCCCACAGGAAGTGAGTTTCTCGGGTTCAGTCCTGGTCAGCCTGTCACGGTGGTCCTGGATAACGATGGGACTATAGTAGAGGATCAAGCTTACTTTTTGTGTTTACCTCTAGACACAAAGTTTATGTTGTTGCACGAAAAAGAGAAATGGTCACCAGTTCGCAGGGGTAAGACGGTGCACTGAGATTTGTATGCAGTCCATTTCTTATTTCATTTCAAGATGAACTCCACGTTCATGTTCACTTAGTAATTGGCTTTTCATTGTAGTGGATGGCGGCACGGCCTGGATGGCAAGAGACTCCATGTTGGTGGAGGCGGACACCGTGGACGCCTCCAGTGCTGCGGCACCCTGGCTGGATCTGGCGCAGCAGCTGAAGCGGGACCTTGCCAGTATCATCCTGATGTCTGACGAAGACTTGCAGGTAGCTTTGCTTCACCTCACCAACTGTGTCTTTGTATCCCAGCATTCAGTGGGAAGAAAACAAGATAATAGTACTAGTGACTAAAAGGTAATATGGCACATTCTTTGTTGCCATCATCAAACAGACTGGGGGGTTGTGTCGAGGGAGTCCATGCAAGAGATTTATTTTAAAGTAAATATCTAAAAACTCAATCCTTTTTATAAACCTGTTGGGATCAGCTTTCAACCCCATGCAAGGATGTGTTTACATGTGTGCTGTGGAGGTGTTAAATGTACACAACCAGAAAAACAATTATGTTGGGAAATGCAAGCAGTATAAGGCAAGTGTAAGCAAAGAGACCAGACATAACCACAACAACAACAACAAACAGCTGGAACTAAGCTTTAGGTAGTATGCAACAAATACAAACCGAAACACATCTCAGAGCCCATATTCCAGATCATCCCCCACCAACCCAAATTATACTATGAACCAGCATGAGCCAGGTAACCGTATGTTAAAGGTCACAAGTCTGAAAGACAAGAAAATCACCAATACATCTACAAAAACGTGTATTACAGGCAACTCAAAGAGCCACTACAGCGCCTTAACTTACCAGCTAAATATTCTAAACTGTAGTCTCTCCAGGGAGATATATTGGTGATGGCTGCTTATACAATGAGTCCACCAGAACAAAAAGGCACTCAGACAACTGGCAATTCTTAACCCCCCCCCCCCCCCTCCCCCCTCCGACAGCCTCCAAGACAGAGAGGTGTCACTTCACTGATCTTCATTCTTATTGAGGTCCAAATGCAGTGCAGTGGCACTGGAGGATGTTCCATCAGTAAAATTGATGATGTTGTTTAAAAAACAAACAACTAGATGCTTACACAAGCTATACGTAGAAAACAAATGAAATCTTGTCAAAAGTTTGATCTGCCATGCTCTTTTTACCCCTCATTATCTCCTTTTTGTCCCAGTATTTGTGTTTTTATGCTGTGAAGCACCACATAGAGATGCTGTAGTTTTTTCAAAGAAATAATTGGTTGTATTTCTTTGGGCCACCTGCTGTTCCAGACACTAGTGGATGCCCCGAGCATTGAACTAGCCTCTGCTGTGGGCTTCCAAGAGAAGAAGGCCCAGGACCTGCAAGAGACCCTGCAGAGAGTTCTGGACCGACGGGAGGAGGAGAGGCAGTCTAAGGAGTTGCTCCAGCTCTACCTCAAAGCCGCGGAGAAAGAGGGCGGACAGCAAGCAGACCAAAGCAGGCCGGGACAGGAAGGTACGAGTGTGGTTGTTTTCTTTTTTACAATTTGGAAATTGTACGTTCTACAATTACCCTGTTTTTTTCAGTTGTTTTTACACTTTATTGTAAATCGTATTGTAGTTTGGAGGTGTGTGTGTGTGTGTGTGTGTGAGAGCACATGAATGTCTGTTTAGGATGTTTGCTCTGATCAATAACCATGAGTTCAACGTCCAGCACAAATAATCAATAATAACCTTTGATTGTCATTGACATCCATGTTCACATCCTTGTCATGACAAGACAATCAATCAAATTATAGATAAGAAAAAAATGTAGATATCTTTCTTAACATGTTGTTCTCCCTCTGCTGCTTAATAACATTTGCTGTGGAAGATTTACAAATAGAAGTGTGATTGTGCCTTTTGGCCACTAGGTGGAAACGTCGCTGCTGCTTAATAATCCCACTTTTTGTGTCGAGCGCTCGTAAAGATACTCCCTTGTGCAACAAATGATCCTGAATCATTCACTCTCAGAGGCTGGGGATTTGGGGGTGGAGACGATGGAGGTGGACTCTGGCTCCGGATTCGTGTCCAGGACGCTGATGGTCCTGAAGGGCAAAACGAGCCCAGAGACCAGACTCTCCACTGAGGATCTGCAGGTAATCCAGCCATCTAGTATGACTCACAACTTCTGCAGCTTATGCTGTAACATACCCCATCAAGTCTAATAAGGTGCTGATAAAATTATGGAGCAAGACTGCAAGTTCTAACACAGCACATGCATTTATTAGGGAGTCTGTTGTGTAATCTAAAGGGCTCACTTTACTTTAAGTAAAGTGTTAGAACACATCCACCTGTGTTTGCATGCACAAGCAGAGCAATTTATTTCTGGCTCAGTTTTTACATTTTTGTCTGAAACACAACGATCTAAAACGATAAGTCCGTAATATGAAATGTTTAAAATGAAGCCTCCTTCCGTGTCCCTTCAGATGGTCGTGACGAGAGGGGTGGAAGCTATGGAGCGCGTGCTAGGCTTGGACAGAACAAGGACTTCTGCGCTGCTGCAGGCCTGCGAAGCCGAGCTGACCGGACGTCTCCAGCAGATTCAGGCGGTGCAGTCCATCAGGGGCAGCGCACAGCTGGACGGCAGCCGGGGGTCCAGCTAGCAGAGCGCGGAGGAGGGACGAAGGATGAGGGACGCCAGATCCGGGGGAGCAACCGGGCCGAGGCTTCACCTGAGGAGAGACTGATAAGAATCGACACAAACTGCTCCAGGGTCGGAAGAATGGGATTTACCTTGTGTTTAATAATCCTGGAATCATGAATGTTGATGATGGTGGCGTTGGTATCATTTTGTGTAACTTGCAAACCACTTAAATGCTTTCGCCGCGATAGGAAGTCATGTTTATCAAAGACTTGCGTAACCACTGGCATCAACTTTCTATCGGCTCCTTATTTTGGTGAGTGCCAAGCTGTGAAAATAATCACAAATAAACATTTGCGTAGGGAAAGCAAAGCATTTGGGGAAATGTGACCAATCGCTATGTTGTCTTGTTTAGCTCAGAAGAGTGGCATCAAAGCATTTTTCCACATATGTGGGATCATTGCTTTATACAAACTGTTACTGTTAAATAAACTTTCCAGTGTTATTGTTTACATTCTGCTCCCTCTTTTACACTAAGCCGGACGGAAGATTTGCACTGCATGTTGTTCTAGAGTAAATCTAATTATAGGTGAGACATATGCTTTGAACCCTCTTGATCTTCATTATTTGGTGAGTGACAAAATATATAGTTTTGTATCTGTTTGAAAGAATATGTGCGCTTTATCTTGAGTAAATGGGATCTATTGGGAAATTTAGAGTAGAAGTGTGTTCTTTCAATCATCTGGCACTTCCTTAGATCTGACCTTTCTGTTTTAAGGGTCGTCATCAGACCCAAATAATGTGTCATATGATGAAAATAAAGGTTCACGTCAACATTTATTTTCATCTACTCTGTCCTATTGTCGAGCTCATGTGTCGGGGTCGTGGATGTGCGATGTAAGGTCTGTGCGGCTCCTTGGTCACGTAGTCACTCGCCCTTTGAAGCCTGTCGTCTCATCATCAGTCATTGAACAATGTCCACGAATCAGAGATGGATTTGTGGAGGCGTCACCTTGTGTGTCGCGGTGAGATTGGACTTTAATATTTCATATTCGCCTAGATCTCAGTTACTCCGTTTGGTTGCGTCTCCGTTACGCAGTGTCCCCGAGAGAGAGGGAGCTGCCGTTTCATAACCTGTAAGACTCGTCACGTGTCGGTTTCCCGCTGCATTCGCGCTCTAATTCTGACACGCACAACAAACGTTACATATAGGAATCGCTATATAAGCGTACAGGCTTTGATTTGAGGTGCCTTTTATAATCATGTTGAATGGTGGTAAGCAGGATTTTCTAAACTCAACCAGCCCTGAAGCATTCGTCAGGTCTCTTGTTTATGAGAGATTTCCCAAAACGTAAGCGACTCTCGAGCCTAATTAAGTTTTGGCTCTCGTATCTATAAGCTGTTCTTTTTGGGAACAAAATTTAGATTCCCTAAAATACTGATTTATGAATACTTCCCATTGCAGAATTAATGATAAAAGTGTTTTGCCAAAGTGAGCCTCTTTTATATTTCTTTCCTCACATACAATATGATCCCATACAGGATGCAGTGTTTTTAGCTGTAAACCTACTGGCCTCACGCTGCTGCTGGATGAACAGTTAATGGTTTTCGCCGTGTGTGTAATTCCTGTGGAATTGGCTCCAACTAGCTGAACTGAATTTACTGAAGTAAATTGGGTATTGCACATTTGTTACACTGTCTCGTGGATTAGATTATGAGTTTGCGGTGCTCAGGCAACAACTGCAGGTTTGCTCTGCACGCACCCAGTTGCCCTGAGGACTGTCAAACAAACAAACAAACGTTACTGTGCAGTCAGATGCCGTTCAGAGAACACATGTCCACTAAGGCCTCGTGGTTTTGTGGGGTTGCAAATACCACGGTGACGTATGGGTCAATACTTACCTTGCTAAAATGTGTTGGCCTTGACTGTACAAAGAACGTAGCAGAATAACATTTTGGACAAAGTAAACAATGAGGGTTATAATAAAAAAGTTCACAGAACAGTCATGTTGGACTAATTCCAAGAGAGAAGACAGAAAAGATCACTTGATAAATCAAGTGTGTTTCTGTCTCACATCCACACGTTCGCGCGTGCTCCTTTGCCCCACTCGTGGGCCACAGATGGGAGCAACGTTAGCGAGTGAATGCAAAGGTGTCAAATGAGAGGCAATTTTATGCTGAAGAACCGTATAATGACTGTTATGATAGAGGAGTGGAGCTGGGACCGCGAAGAACCAGCTGCATAATGTATGAAGGTTAAACGACTAACATTCACCACTTCGAAGACCAGAATGAGTGACTGCAGAGAACTAATACGTTATTTCTGACAAGCGTTGAAGAGCAACGGCTCGCATTAAGCCATGCTACTTTGAGGAATAGCCAATCTTTAATTAAAATGCTTGTCTGATCGTATGAAGCTTCAGGTTATACAAAAAAATCGCTTTTTTAAAATGTGTAAATCACTGAGTAAAAGTGTCTTTTGAGTTAAGCTTTATTTCAAACAATCATGACACAATCTATACAAAAGTTGATATAGGAAGATTGTGATGGTGAGATTATTCTCACCGGATAAAGAAATAAAAGAACCCGATTAAACTGGACTACAAATGAGATGTAACCAATACAATTTGTTGAAATTTGGAAAGCGTTTTTGTAGCACTATAATTTCATTAAAATAATAATTCTTTCAGCCTCAAATACAATATACAAGTTTCGTCATGGTTGCATTAAATTGTCTGCATATAAAAGTCCCTGTTAAATATTGAGGTAGAGGCACACGAACAATACTCATGTCAACAAGCCATCAGGATTCAGCCTTGATACTCGTGTACTTGATCTTCCATCCCTTGTTTTTCCCACTAGTGTCGGATCTAAACGCCACACGCACTTGGTAACTTCCGGTGTCGATGCGGCCCGGTGACACTGATCCACAGAAGGGTCCATACTCTTGTCCAGCCGTTGAAATCTTAAGAAGGGGGGGTGAGAGGGGGGATCAAATAAGACAGTTCATTAAATGCCTGATTGATTCATGCTTAGCCAAAACTATGCAGGCAGCCGCATGGCCGCGTCGTATATCACCTGAGGGGGACGCGTCCGTGAAAACAAACCGCCTCTACGCGCGTGAGGAGGAATACATTGGTTGTCACATGACTAACCTTCAGCGTATCGTATGGACAAGGGACATCTGAATGTCCCTCTACGTCAAAGGGCTCCAAGAAGTGCAGAATTATTCTGTAGCCCTCCTGCAGACGGATGGTGTGGTCACACTGACTCATGGGCGGGTAGTGGCTCGGGTAGCCCGGACTGGTCAGCACCCCCGACGGCGAGGTCAACACCTGGCTGGGGCACGGCACTGCGGGAAAGACTCACACACTCACTGGAATCCCACGAAGACACATTTTCAGATACCTTGTCCTACCCTCGGGCTTCAAATGCCAACAATCCCGTCAATCGAGACGTCTGCTGGCATTTGTAATGGATGGGATTCTTTCGTGATCTTTGGTTATATCTCAGTGTGCAGTTGTTCTTACGGACAAAAGATGATGACTATGGTAAAGAGGCTGAGTTCCTGCAATGCATATAATTAGTGCAATTTCCAGGCAGCTAATCATTCAGCTAATTTGTTTTGTCAGCCCCTTTTCTTTTCGCAAAGAATAATAACTTAAGACACATGAACAAGTAATTGTGATAAATTACCTGGTGTCGGTCCACTATTTATGCTGCACAGGTATCAATTCTTAATGCCACTTTAGAGTTGATTCTCCCTTAGGAATCGACAGTAATTAACCTTGCCTCACAGCAGCTGACAGAGATCAACTACTTGATGCATCAGTACGCCTTTTCAGTCTGAAGTTATTCAGCAGGAGCCAGCTATGAATGAAGGGAATCCAATCAACCCTTTGTGAAATATAAGAAAACTATTATTTGGAAGATTTTCTCTGCAGGACAAATGCAAACAACCTTGCGCTCCGATAATTGTACTGACATGTTTACAACACATCCATTTCATCTTGTTTTCATCCCAACTTCTCGAAAACGTTATTTCATTTAATTTTTTTAAAAGCAAATACATCAAACGAAACACCATGAACCGTATCAATTTAGTGAGAGAAGGCTGTATGTAAAGCTCCTCTCACCGAAATTCCCATAAACGACTTCTGTTCCCTGATTGGGCTCAGATGGGCATGGCTCTTGAGCTTTAATGTGCACGCCTCTTACCTGTGCACGATCTTTTGTTGTCATGGAGAAGGTATCCTTGTCTGCACGTGCAGTAATAACTGCCAATATAATTGTGGCAAAAATGATCACACACTCTTTCCCCATCTATCTGGGTCAGACACTCGTTGATGTCTGTTGAGAGAAGGAAAGGTGAGAGAATAAAACACTGTACAAAAGAAATGTAATTGGTCTTAACACACAATAACATTGATTGGTGAACTACGTAAACTAGACGTTGAAAGAAAAGTATAAATTGTATGAAATGAGGCATCAACTCTTGAATCCAAAAAGTAATAAAAAGTTGATAAAAAGGACACGTAAACCATCTGGAAAAAGCTTATATTCAAATGGAAGGATACAAGGAGGATAAAAAAAAGTATTAAATAGTTTTAAATAGTATTCAAACTTGGTCAAATTAACCATGTCATTACATTTGGATGGATTTTGTAGGATTTACTTGTGATTTTATAGTCCTTCTCCTATTTGGCTAGAAACTCCCTTTACATACTGCCTCATGCAATTACGGCCACCAACAACTGTGTCGCCCTTCTGGCAACAAATGTCACTACTCTTCACCTTCTGCGGCGTAAAACGCTTGGAAGCCCGTGAATCGTCCCTCGTTAGAGTAGTCACTTCTAAAGACCACTGACACCAGGTTCCCGGCTGACAGCATGGTGGTTTTTCTTGGGCTCCCATCGTAATTCTTCTCCTCCTCGCCGCAGTACCGCAAGGTTTCATTCCCCTCGGCCGAAACCTGGTGTGACAGGGGTCAGAGGCCTTTCAGTCAAGTGAGCCATAGGACTCCAGTGCCGATGATGAGGGTTGGAGTTTCTCCAGCGTGTTGTACCTGAATGTAGTCATATTCACACTGGTCAGAGGGTTCCATGCTGAAGTGGCTGAAGTACAGCTTGACCCTGTGGCCATCCGGCACAGTGATGTTCCACACTTTGAGCTGGTTGTCCGGGTATGGCCGGGGGAAGTCGGGGGAGGTAAAGCTGCCATACAGCCCAGTCATCTCCACACTCAGGGACGTGTGCATGAGGGAGAACAGGACAAGTACACAGCACCCGCTGGGCAAAATTAGGTGAGATGGCAGAGGATTCAAGGATTCTTTTGCACGAATGAACACTGGCACTCACCTGGTCATGTTTGCTTCGCGGTCCCCGATGTATTTTGGTGTGTTCTGGAAAGGTTCGCCCCCGGTGATCCGAGGGTAAATGAACCCAGCGGCGTTTAGGTAAACAGAGGGGGACAAGCACATGATCAGTTTGTCATTATTCCCCACCGTCCAGGCTGTGGCAGAAATCGATCAAACTGGTGAATGCCAGAATCATTTATATTCATTTTATCCTGTTTAACTCACCATAGCGCTTTTACATGTGAGAAATAATCATTTAGATGATTCTAAATGAGATGAATTCCCTTGAAGTTAATTTTATTTCACGGCACAGGTAGGAGACTGATTGCACTGAGCAGGGGAGTCTAAATCAAACAAAGCACACTATTTAGGAGCTCTTTCTATAGTTTTTTGATTTTGGAGGACAGGGCCTGGGGGCAGGGAGCCTCAGGCCCTGTGGGAGTGTCCTTGCGCAAGACACTGACCCTAAATACCTCCCAAGGGACAGGCCAGCAACTTTAAGGGCTTTCAACTCTAGAGTAAAAGCACTGTATCCGTGCAGTTTGTTTACCGTGATCAGTTCATCAGCGAGAGTCAGTGGTACAACAACAGGTGTTTCAGCATGAAGGAAACCAGACTGCATCATGTTGTTGTTGGTTTTTTCTGTTCTTTTTACATGCCTGTCAAATGCCTCGGTTATGGTTGGACTTCATTGTAAAGGCTTTTACAAAGAGGGAATTGAGGAGTAATCACGCTGTCTGTTTTTATGGAATATGAATGTGGATGTTATTCAATAGTGGGGCAATTTCAACAAGTAACATAATAAGTAAGCTTGCAATGAACAACACCCCTTTCCCGATGATGAAGCACTAATGACTAGCATTTCAAGTGATTTACAATAATTACACACAAAACCATCAATGTTTTTTTTTTTTTTCTCTTTGCAAATGACCTCTCTGATGGAACTCTCTTTAAATGGTGCCGTAACCTTTTCCTTTTTGCCTGATTGTGAGCGGGTGGGACGTTGACCAACTGTGCAGCCTAATGGCAGATGTTCAGCTCCTGGATATCATCCAGCTGCCATTCAGGTATTGACGCTGCAACAGAAATTGAACCCTTTGAAACTCAACAAAGCGTTCCTGGAAACCCTTACTTCATCATAAAAAAAATGGTTAATATTGATTGCGCAATTATGTTCTATGCGTCATCCAGAGTCAAAATCTCATTTCCGTTGCCTCTGGGAGATGGAGCTTTTATGCTTTATTTCCTTTAACTAATACATAAGAGAATTGAGAATGATTCCTGGGCTTTTTCAACTGAAGAGCACTTTTCAAAGAGCCGGATCCCCCCCCCCCCCCTCCCCCTGATAACGTCATGCCTTCAAGTGCAGTTTGCACGCTGGCTTTAAACACATCTCTTCGAGTTTTAGTATTTGTTAAAGACAGATCGTCTCTTACTCCCTCACTGAATAATATGTCCTGTTCTATAAATCCAATGCTGCGGGAACCTTGGACACTGGAGGCTCGTCTTCGTTACTCTGATTTCTAGAAAAACGTTTTCACCTCGGCAATCCTCAGTATCTGCCAATTGAGGAAGAGTCTCTGTGACATTTACATTTTCTGGTTGATGCAATGAATTGTTTTCTGGGAGAATTATGGAATACTGTCAGCACATCTGTCCACACACTCCACTTGTTGGTATGTACTGAATAACATATAAGCTATTAGCCAAGCATATTCAGTCTAACGTAAATACACTGTAATAATAAGTCAATTTATTTAGCTCATGCCCAGAAAAATTTGATAAGCAGTAAATTAATCAAATTGTATTTAAATTATATTTTATTCATATATATATATATATATATATATATATATATATATATATATATATATATATATATATATATATATATATATATATAAATAAATGTATTGCTAACTGTGATTAGCAGCATTTGGAGACACAAAGATTGTTGATGGGTAAACGCAGAATCTGTTAACGGCAGAGGCAGATTGCTCTGTTTTCATTCAATTAACTGAACTTGGAGGAGCAGGCATCTAAACAGTATGAAAAAGATAACAAAATACTCGAGAAAGGTTTTACACTCACAAATAGCTGCCAGTCACAGATCATGGAACAATTATTCATTTTTCAAGCATCATCGATTCTAACTAGACCAAAAAAATCATACTTTGTAAGCAATCTGACCGTATATATATATATGCATATCTTTCTGAAAACCTTGGATATTGTTTTCTCTCAAAATGTTGATAAGAAGAAAGCCTCTCGCTGGAAGCAGTGTTTCAAGGTTTGTCTTTCCTGAGTGCGTCTGCTCTCTAAATGTCATTGCAGTGATTGGCATTGAAATGTCAACTCTGTTGTTATTCAAAGTTCCAATGCAGCCAATCCTTCATAGTGTACTACTTGTTTGCTTTATTTTTTTCTGTTATCTATGCTTCCATCTATTCTAAACCGTATGCCTCCAAATGCCTGCGGCTACAGACAACTGACACCTTTTATCATGACGTGCTCAGCTGCCCTGCTTTACGACCTTTTCACACCCTGAGGTCACACCGTAAGGTGCAAAACCCATTTTATTGTTGCTCAAGTTAGAATGAAGCAGCATTTAACAGTACAGGTGATAATGAACGGGATAATAACGAGATTTGTATACTAAAGCTTTGTCGTGCGAGCAAAACAAGGACCAGACTGGAGACTTAAATCAAAATAGCATGACAAAGTTTATTTGCAATAAGAGTCTTCTGTCCTGCAGTTTGACGTGCACGGACCTATTTCAGGCAGTTTAACAACAACATGAAAAAAGGCGTTTAATACGAAATGCGCTCGAATTATATAGTCTCTAAGAACATGTTTTATTGGTTATTAAGATAGAGGCGGCTCCTGCTTAGAACCCTCGGAGAGCCCCATTGGAGCACAGGGATGTCATCACGCCTCCCGTTGTTCATGAGTTCTTCATATCAGGATGTTTGCAAGATGAGTGCATGATGATTTGCATATGAGTGATTGGCGCAGTTCTAGGTATGGACATGTTATTCTTAGAATGGGGAACAGGTGGTTCCTGTTGAATTGCATTGGACCCAAACAGTGGTGCATCTTTTTTCGACATGTTCGTGTGCTGGTGTTGTGACTTGAAATATATGTTGTTCGTGCAATCCGGCCTTTAAGCGGCCTTCTCCCATTATTACTATGCATTTATAGTTCAAGTGTAATTTCATTCTAGCGTGAGCGTGCATGTTTACTGTATATTTTAATACTCAACAGCTTCAAGTTGACTTTAGAATTTATGTTTGAGTTGCTTGAGGACATATACTGGTAGATGTTAAATAGATTACAAATAAAAGCAGGTGAGAAAATCAAGTGCAAGGAATAAAAAAATACTTTTAGAATAATATTGTGCTGTTCACTTTACCTTCTTCATTGGGAGACAATTAGGGGCAGCGACAGTGGCTGTTTGTCAACATTGCAACAGCCGCGGACAGCAGTTTACGGGATTTTAATGTGATTTGAGGCCATTTTCTGATTTGCAGCCGCGAGCCTCTCACTCAAATAAAACTCACTGCGGTAGATGAAATGTGTTGTACAAGATTGCTGTTCCATGGTCCACTTTCAAAGAACTGTCTCCAAAATCCCTCGCCTGACGGCCCTGTCACTTCAACCCTCAGTGCTCCTCTTCGCAGCTTTGGCGGATAAGGGCTGTTTTTTGTCGGTAGATATCTGCTTTTCTACTCAAAATCCGTAGAATAACGTGCTGATAAGTGTGCTGAATTTCCCTTTACAAGAGATTTCAATTGACTGAGTGTGTTTTTTGTTGTTTTATATTCTTTGTTATCTGAATGTGAATAGGTTTATGCAGCCATGTCCTGTGTTACTTCAAGAGCTTTTATGTGACCTGAGGCAATCCTGAATCCTGAATCCCCTCCTCAAAGCACAGAATTTATTACGAAAGGTTCCGGCTTGCATGTGAATATTGGCACAAATATTGTATGTGTGTGTCATGAACAAAGCTGATCTACAGGACTGAACTCAGTGGTGGGTTTGTGCATGTACCATAGATAATAAAACACGCACACACACACACACACACACACACACACACACACACACAAGGGCGAGCCCGTTTAATTTCAGCATGATCAAACCTTGAAGGTCCGTGTGCGCGAGACAGGCGCTGTCCTCGCGGAGCTGTTTCACCAGCCTGCTGTACCGTGCAGTAATGAAGTACTTCCTCATGGAAGTCAGTCAGTCATCAAATGAAGAATAGGCCACCTGATATCAATTGAAAAGGAGAAAGGAAAGTGGTTGTTCGGTTATATGGAGAGTCAACAAAATATAAAGGTGCAGGAAGAGAGTGCGCTTCTGATAAAGGCAAATAAGATGCTGGAGGACGGTAAAATGTGAACGTGTCTCACATTTTGTTCCTTATCGCGCACGATTTATACATCCCTCCGACGCACTGTGATTAGAAAAAAAAGACACTTTATGAGTGTTACTACATCCTTCTACCATCCTCATTCTCATCCTCTTCGTTCTTCCCATCGGCTGCAATCGCAGTAGTCTCAAACACCCACATGCTGTTAGCTGTAATTAAGGACTTGAATAACTGGGGATGTGTCACTTTAGCTGAACACCGAGAAACAATGTAGACTTAATCCACTGTAATTTGCTCTTCCGCTGTAGCTCTGCAGACGCGATAGGATTTAGGCTTCCACGGCACAAATAAACTGCAAATAAAAGACAGTTTAGAAGCACCACAGGACAAGATGTCTCTTAGTATCAGATACTTATTCACCGATTGTCAGTGTCTCAACATTCAATGCAGAAATGTAAAATGTTACTGGCAGGAGCGTAAACATTTAATTGGCAGAACAAGAGAAAAAGGGTTGTGAATGTTGCAGCTTCTTGCCGTTCCGGGGACTCACCGCGTTTATGCCTCCGGGCCAGATGTTCACGAGCCAAAGAAACAGAATTGATTGAATGCCGTCAATATATGTGAACCTTTCTCTTTGTTCTGTGGGGAGCAGCAGGTTCGGTCTAATGCTTCTATTAACACTGCCATTGTTATTGCTTATTGTGCGTGGGCACAGAGAATACATTGAATGGCAAAAAAACAACAAAAACACCTGGAAATGTCCGCCTAAAAACCTTAGTTTTCCCAAGGCAAAGTTTCAGAGAAAAGGATTAAAGTAAACATTTTAAATAAATGCAGAGAAAGGATGCTGTTGGTGTTGTGCTCACGTCTTGGTTGAGAGAGAAGAATTGGGCTGAGAATCATCCGACATTTTGAAAAAACGGTTGTAAAAATGGCCAATTTTAACAAACATAAAAAGGAATCCGGATTGAACAAATTTTACAACTATACTTGACTGTCAAACTCAATTGACTGAATGCAGTCAATGTATATTGTTATTTAAGTATAACTAAACAAAGTTAATTGTACTTATTAATAATAGCTGGTTAATGCCGCATATCTTAAAACAACGTATTAACTTTTCAGTAAATTAGATAATTTTGTTGTCATTCAAGTATTTGCCCTACGAAGTGTTTTCCCCACAGACCCAAACCCGAACCCTAACTCCTGCCCCAATACACCTGAATTTGTTCGGAAATATCGGGTGCAAAATGAATCACGTTTAATAGATACGTTTTTAAAGATTAATGCAATAATATATCACTGATATTTACAACACAGCTTCCCAAAAGCCCAAAAAGACGCACATGTTCAGAGTATGATTTACTGCGTATCCTGGTAACCAACATCCTCAGATGCTAATGAAAAGGATTCACGTCGAGCCTTTTTCTGCTGGATTACATTCCTGACGTCAGGCCTATTGCTCTTCAGATTCAGGCCTGCATGGCTCTTTTTCACAAATAACAAATACGGTCATTTACTTGCTAATTCAAACAGACCCCAGCTTTAGCAATTCTGTGGACCGCCATAAGGCGGTAAGGCATTCGGTGACGTCGGTGGGACCAAGCGATGATGAGAAATGGCACACAGGTGCTGCTCTCGCCCCTGAATCCTTTCCTTTATTAGAGTGCCTGATGGCTTTTTCCTAAACCATGTTTCAAACAGCTCTCTTTTACAAAACCACTGAATTATAATTTAAAGCTAGGACAGAATTTGTACCTCGCTCACCCACCATCATTTTTGCAAGTTAAAAATAAGCTTTCAAAAGAAACGCATCTACTCCATGTTTTGGGTAATAAGCAGTGAATATTTATTTTAATAACACATCCACTCATTGTTAACACACAC